TATATATATATATAGAAATTGATTGAAAAGTTTTACCTCTATACTTTGTAGAATACTTAAACTCTGTCTTTGATTCACAATTTCAACAATATAACATTAATTATTGACAGCAAGCAGGTGAAAGTAGAAGATATATGTGTGTGTGAGTGTGATTTTTGGGAAGTGATTGAAATGAAAGTAGACGTTATAATATTTGTCATGTGTGTGATTTTTGGGAAGTAAACAAAAGTTTGAATATTGGGTCTACCCTGTTCTGACCTTTGAATTTCACACATTTACAATCTGTCATGTTTTACTCCGCCTTGTCTGTTTTATGTCGTGACGGCGGGTGGTTGGAGGGTGCCACTGGTAGGTACTACTTCTTTAGTTTCCCTCTCTTTTTAATGTCTGTCTGTCTTACTTTTCCCCAGCACAAAATACCCATTATTGTGTCGATATGCTTCTCTTTTCTCAAGCAAAAAAACCCCCCCAAAAACCTACCAAATAATTATGTGGGGATGTTTTTACTATGGTTGATGCCTGCTTTATGCCGTGGTTTTTTACTCCTTTTTTTCTGCACTTTTTCACCAGGTGGGGGTGCTACGCAGGAAGACATCAACAGAGCTATACCGATAAGACGCATGGGGACCCGCCAGGAAATTGGAGAAATCTGTTTGTTTTTGGTGACAGACATGGCGGGCCTGATCACCTCTTCCACTGTCATCGCTGACGGAGCTGCCTGGCTTGCTGATGGCTCCGAGGAGAAGAGGATGGAGATGTACCGGAAATTTATGTCCAGAATGTAACTAATGTTTCTGTGTTGTGGATGGGCATTACGTAATGAAAGAAAAATAAATACCTTTGTTAAACAAAGATTGTGAGGCATCATAGTGAAATCATGCACTTGTCAAAATAGTGAAATCATGCGCTTGTCAAAATAGTGAAATCATGCGCTTGTCAAAATAGTGAAATCATGCGCTTGTCAAAATAATGAAATCATGCGCTTGTCAAAATAGTGAAATGATGCGCGATGCGCTTGTCAAAATAGTGAAATGATGCGCTTGTCAAAATAGTGAAATCTAGTGAAATCATGTGCTTGTCAAAATAGTGAAATCATGCGCTTGTCAAAATAGTGAAGTCAAAGGAATTGGCATTTTTCTGACTTTTGGGCAATATTTTTCTTAATTTTTTATTTTTTGGCTCACACCTTTTATATCCATTTAAAAACACATTTCTGTGTGGATTTTACTTTAAAAATCGCCCCGCCCTGGACTCATACACACAAATCGTAAGTGAGATGAGTGGTCACTGTTTACCCAGTCTGTAACAAAGTAACAATGGACGTCAACATGAACTTGTTACAGAAGCGTGGCTTGTTCTCCAAGTGGTGGTGACCCATGTGTTTGTTTTACCATAGCACTCGGCCTTACTCGTGTGACACGTTTCGTTTTATTGTCACCCTTGCTCAAAAGCAGCAACAAAAGGAAACCTCCCCCCCCTCCGAAAATAACATTTTACAACAACAACAATAACAACAACAACAATGCGGCTACCTTCGGTTGGGACTTCGGAAAGGAGTGGTTTGTTTTTTCATCTTGATCAGTCCTGCTTCAGACAGCCACTTGTCTTATACGGCCACTTTTCTCCTTGACAATGGGTGGCCATCTTGCACAGGTTCGACTGTATTTGCCTTTCTTCCAATGAAATAAATATCCCTTTATCTTTAAGAAAACTCAAGATATTTGCAATTGAAGGAAGTGAGGCCACGTGGCTTTAGTGGTGAAATTAGCAAAAAAAATGACCGCCAAAATTTGGTAACTCCAATTGCTAAAGAGTCTTTGAAAACTGAAAAATGACATATTTTGAGCCTGTAATCAATGTTTTTCCGTAAAATTCACACGGAAATGTGTTTTTATATGGACATAAAAGAGGTTAACCCAAAAAATGTATAAAATCCGATAAAAATTTCCAAACTGGCGGAAAAATGCCTGTTTCTCCGATGTCATTATTTTGACAAGCACCTGATTTCACTACGCTGCTTCACATAGATCTATGTTGATTTTTTAAAGTATTCAAGTGTTGTTTTTGTTGAGTTGTGCTGTATATCCCAGAGAAATAATATCATGTTCATTGTCCTCCATCAATACATTGTTGGGAGTGCTTATTTAGGCTACATTGTTCTGCTATAAGCTGATAAAACGCCTTTTTTTCATTTTGGTGCCAAATTTTTTTATAATTTGCTAAAACGAAAGCCTGATCAGTTTACCTTACTTGTGTGAAAAATATCAAAGTGAAACTGAATAGTTTTTGAATAATTTCAAATTTTGGAATCACTCTCTTTTTAAATGGTTACACTGACAAAAAACATCTTTTTCTTGAAACTGCTGTGAAGAAAAAAAAAAGGCGTTTTGTCAGCTTATGGCAGTGTTCTGTGTGTATGTCTGTGAGTGCCTATGTGTGTCTGTGTATATGTAGATGTGTGTGTATATATGTGAATGCCTGTCTGAGTGTGTGTCTTTGTGTTTATATGTGTGGGTGTGTGTATGTGTGAGTGCGTTGATGAGTGTGTGTGCGTGTATGTATTTTAATTACCATCATGCTGCAGCAAATTTCTCACTGTTGAGATCGATAAAACGTTATCTCACCTAATCTTGTCAGGGAAAATCTTGTGTTATAATGCTTAAGTTCAAGCTCTGGGACTGTTTTTTTTGACAATCTCCACAACTACCTCTTGAACTGACTACTTGCAAATGTATTTTGTTCAATGTGTCAATGTCAGACAATGACCGGTACAGATGATGGAAATCTGTTACTGAATGGCTGGTGGGTGCTCTGGTGTGGTTTAGATCGCTCTTTCTTTCCTATCACACATCTATCGTACTTATCTCTCCTGCTTTTTTATGATTGTTACTCCTTTGTAGTACCTCTAATCTTCAGTCTTCGACACCTATATGACCTAATTGTGTTGCAAGTGCCATAAAACTTACTATGTAAAACTAAAAATGTGTCAGTGTTTGACTTTGACCAATGCACATAATGGTGAACCAGATTAGTTAATATCCCAGATAATAATGTGCCAGATTAATGAATAATCCATTCAGATGATAATTTTTGCAATGTTTACACACATTAAAGTGCGCATGATGTGATTGAACTTTCTAATAAACTGAACTAATCAGATGAGACCTTCCAAATTTGTTTCTTGTGGTGTTCTTTTTTTTTTACGTTGACTGAAATTCATGACTGGGTCAAGGGTCATTGTTTGTGAAGCCTAGCAGACTTTTACCCACACTGAATCCAAAAGTCTGTGTTCTGTTTTTCTCTTGAGTTTGTTTTGTTTGTTTGTTTGTTGTTTTGTTTTTATGTTGTTGTTTGTTTGTTTTTTTTGGGGGGGGTTCAATTCTGTCCATAGGAAACGAACCTTACATTGTTAGTATACGGAGCATAAGCAAGGTCCCACCACACAGCTATGGGACAGCGGGTTGTTGGAGGTGCCACCGGTGGTAGGTCCTACTTACGTTCTTCCCTCTGTTATTTCTATCTCTGTGTCTGTTTCACTTTTTCTCAGCCCTAAATGACATTTATTATGTCGAAATGCTTCAATTCTTTTTACTCAAACCATCAAACAAGCTCAGGTTAAGGTGTTGGCCTCTCATTCAAAGGTCCCGGGTTCGAATCCGGGTAGCGACCGAAAAATTTTCTTCTCTAATATTGTCTCCTTTCACCTCCTTTCCTGCTCTCTAGCAATGTTCTCTTGTCTGCTTTCATTTCCAATTTCTGCCCCCACCCCCTCACCTCCTTTTCCCCTTCCTCTGGGCTCCTTTCTGTAGCCTTTCTACTGCTACTCCTTGGCTCCTCCTTACTGCTGTCTTTCTGCCACACCCCTGATTTTCTGGTAGGAAAGATGTACACCTAGCCT